TTCTTGAGAAACGATGAAAAAACAGGCGTCAGAGGATTTCGCTTTCTCAAAGACACCTGACATAAAAAAATATTTTTTCTGAAATTTAAGCTTCTTCTGTGAAAACTGCCAACATTTTCCGAGCGATGCTTGACTTCGTAAATGTACCCTTGAGTCCTCTATCCAGTGTTGCCATAATAGCTTCGCTAGCTCGCTCTGCTCCGGAGGAATGTGCGGAAAAGCCGGCGAAAAACATGATATTATGTCCAAATTTTGCACCGAAATGTGTGATATTTAAATTTCGCGTTTCATGTGAAGACTGCCTGTATTTCCCCACTAGCGATTTTTAATTATAAGGTTATAAATTAAATTTAGCGAGTTTTAAATTATCTTTCAAACAATAGCAAAACGAGTTCTGTAGTCCAAATGGTTCTTGAGTAACGATGAAAAATGCGGCGTCAGTGTATTTCGCTTTTTAAAAGACACTTGACTTAACAATTTATTTTTTCTGGAAGTTGGGCTTTTGAAGACTGGCAACATCTTCCGAGCGATGCTTAACTGGCTAAATGTATCATTTAGTCCTCTATCCAGTGTTTCCGAGATGGCTGCTCTAGCTCGCTTTGCTCCTGAGGAATGAGCGAAAAAGCCGGAAGAAAACATGAAATTGTGTCCAAATCTTGCACCCAAATGTCTGTATTTCGCCACTTGTGTTACTGCCTGTATTTTTCCAATACGGCTGTTCCAGCTCGCTCTGCTCCTGAGGAATGAGCGATGTTTGAAATTTTTGTCATTTGAGTGAAAATTGCCTCCTTCTCCTCACATTCTTCTACGACGTGATTCGATTTCATTGGGCTGGCTGTTTTCTTCTAGTACATTATATACGTTTGATGGGCGTTAATGGTACTATTTCCAAAAATAATTTGCAAAACGTTGCTGAAACCAGGATAATCCGGAACGAAAGGAAACGGAGATCCAGAGTCTCAGAGGCACAAAGATAAACATCCATTTGATAGAATCTAATGTAGCCGGGCGAGGGAAAATAAAATTAGGACGTATGCGAACAAAAGCCCTTAACGAGATTTCCTGGACGCGTCTTTCAATCGGACTATACTGAAAGTGAGTTACCGTTCCTCCAGGCCGAAGGAAGGGATTGCCGACGTTCTGGACAGCAAAACGCTTTCGGTTCGGCGTTTTCCATCTGATAAGTTCGAAACAGCCGATATGACAATGGCCCAATTTGCACTTTATTGGTATTGGCGTTTGCTGCGATAATTCAATATTCGCGAATGTAAATTTCGCGCAACCCATTAAGGGTGGCAGTTTTGTTTAGAAGGGTCGTCTTGACACCCCCTTTGCTATTAGTGCCGTTGGAAAATCTGCTCGGCATTTTTTTACTAGGGCTTTGAACTTTGCACTTTATGACTTCGCTGCCCTTAAGGGATGATTTCACTGCTGACCTTTGCCAGGGGCTTTGGCCGACTCTTCATTCAGTATTGATTGGTCGAAGCTATTTGGGCCATTGAGAAATCTTGTCATTTTTGTCCGCATTTTTTCCCAATTAACCACGCTTATGAAAAAACTATTCGCAATTACCGCAAGACGAAACTAAGCATTCCTTATTCATATATTCTGGGCACTTCTTCAGGCTCTTCTTTATACGGCTGAATAACTGGCAGACAAGGCTCGAGCCGACGTGCACGGCCCTTCAAGGGCCCTTCGCGTGAGACTTCCGGCCCCATTTTAACACCTTCACTTGCATATGGAACGCGTTCGTTTGTTGTGTAAGTGAGAAATACCTTTTTAATTTCTCGCTGCTGCTGCTGCCGGTATAGACCGGTTTAGGCTCGAGGGGGATTTGTTCTGTCTGGGTCGCTTTTGATAGCGATTACGAACCTCCAAGAATCGACGTAATTGTTTTGTGGTTTAGAAGAGGCCCTGGTACGCAGTCTGTCATGAAACGGGGACATTTTTTAGTCAATTTCTCGGGGATTTTAGAGAGCATATTGGCGTGGTTTTTACGTGAAGTTGCGCTGTTTCAATGTGGGATTTTGCTGTAATAATCAGGCCGATTTGGCTTTCACTTGTACATTTGCTCGTGGTAGCCACGCTCTGTTAGCAAACCAGACATAAGTCTTCCGCAAATCTGAGTTCCAGTGTGTAACGATTTTCGGGTCGAACAAATCGGTTAATTTATAAGGACATCTTTCCGTCGTGTCTTTGGGGCAAAATTGGCGAGCTCTGGAATGTTTAATGTTCCAAGCGGTCGTAAATTGACTCGGGCATTATGTGGGAGTCCTGTGGGAGCAACGCTCCCACAGGACTCCAATGGATTGACAGGATGGTTCTTTGCTTCGCGCTCAAAGTTTCACTCTTGCATCAACCCGCAGAGTTTTGATGTTTGGTTCACCCTCTCGCTTGCACCTGTAAGGGAAAACTGGAAAGTTCAACATTTATGAGTCCACTATATCAAAGGGCGAGAGTGGTCCTGACATGTAATTTGGGTCCTTAATTGAATCGCACCCTCGCATTTTTAAATCACATTCCCCGCCCGCTGCATTTGTAATCCCCCCTGGCTTTTATTTTCTTTATTCGCAAGTATAAATATGAAGCAGCAGCAGCCCCAGATATAATTGCTTAGTTAGCTCGTGCTTGGTGTCCAAATTTAGTTTATTACCTGGATAAGTTCCAGAGTTCGGAAATTTTTGCGCGAAACAAAACAGTAATTGCTGATTGCTCGAGTTTGGAAGAAGTTTGCCCATTAAAAATTGTGCAAAACATGTCGCTCAATAATTCAGCGAAACTGGCAGCGGAACTTTGCCAGGTCCAAGTGAAACTAGCGAATGTCAGTTTCCAGTTTTATAATTCACGCCGTTCCCGGATCTCTGTTCAATTTCGGTGGAATAAAGTTATCCAGTTCTTTTCCGCAGCAGCGCCACTCGTCACATGATCTTTCGACCATTCCGCTCTAATGGGAAAAGTTATAATTATTTTCCAGAGATGAAACTGATTGGCTCCGACCAGGACGCAGCTTTCAGGTAATCTGATGCTGCTGAGGAACGATCTCTCGAGTGCATCATCTTAATGGGACTCCTCGAATAAATCCAGTCGCCTGCCGGGCTATTAGGCTCCATCTATTAGCGAGCAAAATTTTTAGAGTCCAGATTTTATCCAAGTTTCACGTCTATTCTCACCAGACGACTTGAGCAAACTTTTTCCCAAAAATTTAATCCTCAACTAGTGGCGATTAAGTTTGTGGCCGAAGGTGAAATGTGGACTTTTTCTGGGTAAATTGCACACACCTTACATCGACTATAAACATCAGCAAAAATAGTCCGAGGTAGGCCTGGGTAACTCAGTGATTTTTTAGGAGTTGGCGCAGTGCGGCGCAGTAACTCGGTTTCGTTGCTGGGAAAATGTTGACGATCTTTTTTCTTAATTGTTTTAACGTCATAACAACGTTTTAACGTGAATTTTCTGCTTAAAATTATCAAATAAATTTTACTAGAACACTTGCCTCCTTCGTCGCTTTGCAAAAAAGGTTTAAAATCCGTTTCCAGCTTCCAATTTGGCACAAAAAGTTTATAATACATTATTTGAAAAACTCGTCACCCCCATCATTCTGGAGTTTGTTAAAAAATATGGTATTTTAGTTTTGACTGATTTTTTTCTCTTGCTTTACTTTCTACTTGAAAACGCTGTATTTTGAAGTTTTACTTAAAAATACTGATAATCTGGAAGTCGATAAAATTATAAATATAAGAAAAAATAAGATAAATTTAAAGCTTTGTATGAATTTTCCAAAACCTTTTTTCATTGTGGAATTCGGGACAAAAACGAAAATAAATTTCTCCCATTTTTTCCCGGAAATCATTAGAGTTTTCTCAAAAACCGATCGCAAAACTAAAATTTTTGAAGATGATTTTCTGATAATAATGGGGTTCTTTTCAGCCAAAAATTACAAAATTAATTTTGCTAGAAAATTCGGCTCATTCATCGGTTTGTAGGAAACTTTAGAAAATCCTTTTCAGCTTCGAATTTGGCCCAAAAACAAGATGTGAGAAATCTTCGAAAGATTCTTAGTTTCTTGAAAATTTTAGGTCTCCAGTTTTAGCAAAGATTTGATTAAGTCATTATTTCTCTGTAAAAAACGCATAATTTTTTAGTTTTACTTCAAAATACTGACTTATGACTGTACTGACAAATGTCTTCTGGTATTTTCAGTGAAAAATTATAAAATACATTTTATTGGAACACTCGCCTCCTTAA